GATTACACATATGAAACTTCTTAAACGAAGAGGCTAACAAAGCACCAGTACGAGAGACCGAAGGCATCTTATATAACCAACATTTCACTGCTGACCAAAATGGCAAATCCTGTAGAACAAAGACAAAGGCAAAAAAAAACAACCCCCGCCTCACCCCCCCAGAAAATGGCCTTGAGAACTCTGGAATTTTCATAATCACTATAACAAAGCACTGAATAAACTATAGTGTTACTATCAAATTAGGGACAAAGTGCCTACAACATAAGCAGTAGAGGAGAATTAGAACATATGACATTCTTGTCTGATTGTTTTCTTGATCATGACTGAATAGTCTGGGGTCTGGGGACCTTTTTTCGTTTTCCTTTTGTGTCCCACTTAAAGAGGAGAGTGCTAAAACATATCTCAGCAATACTCAGAGGTACCAGGTAAAATGAAATCTACTGGTATCTCAGGAAAATGTCAGTTCTTGGGAAATTAATTCTTCCCAGTGGAAAAAGCAACTCCCGGATTCACAAAAGGTTCCCACGAGAAAAATATGGCAGTTTCTGATGAAATAGTATCCCTGATGTAATAGTAACTTGGTTAAAATTCATTCTTTCATTCATTTTGTAATAAAGCTAGCAAAAGATACAAACATACATTTTTAGTTTTGTAAAAATAAAAATTATAACTGCTGAACATGGCATATAAATGGGATTGTTATTCTTACTTTTATTATTTTTGTTAAATACTTTACACTGTTTGGATGTTCCATGCCATGCTGAATATACAGGGCTTTAAAGCTGATTTTGTTACAAGCAGGGTTAAATCCCTGCTCATACTGGGCAGACCCAGGTATTGAAACCTGGGGCTCCCACCAGTCAGCAGAGGCTATATTTAGTGGCCCCAGTCTGACAGATGATCTGTACACAGCTCTTTAAATCTGTTTGAATCACATGGCTTTCAGTTGCACTGATTATTAGATTCTACATTGTAACACAGGGCTGAAAAAAGACTTGCATCCATCAAGTTCAGCCTTTCTCACATCTGTGCAAAATACGCAGTTTGAATGAAGCCCTTTTTAATTTTCCTTGTGTCTTATGCATAATTCAGTTCATTAATAGATTGCTGGAAAATGTTTTTTTTTTGGCCCCAAATACTTTTGTATAATGTTATTCTTCCTTCTGAGGTGTTGCTCGTCTAAACTAAACAGATTTATTATTGTTAGCCTTTCTTCACAACTAAATTCATCCATTCCCCTAATTAATTTTGTAGCCTATACTTTTTCCAGTGCCATAATATACTTCTTTAGAACACGTGTCCAAAATTGCACAGCATATTCAAGGTGGGGTCTTACCATTGATTGATAAATATACAAAGTTATACTTTCATTGTGCTAATCATTGTTCCTTTTTCTACATGATAATACCTTACTTAACTGATGATTGACATTATTTCCCAGTTTGTTGTCAATAACAATTCCCATGTATTGTTTTCCCTAGCCCACTACCATTTAGGGTGCAAGTTAATTGTGTATTCTTCATTCCAAAGTAAATATTTTGCATTTATCTACATTCAATTTTATCTGCCATTTAAAGCAGAACAGTCACCTACCCACCATGAAAAATTTGTTTTTTTCATAAAGATAGAATCTCTGAAATACTCGTTATGACTGTGTTGGAATTCCACTGTGATTCCAACCCTGTCAAGAGATATACAGAGACAATGTAGAGATTTTGTTCGTTGTTTGATTCTGTAAGAGTCAACAGCCATCATAAGTTCTAGGTATAGCATACCTCTGCGTTATCTGATTCAAATAATTTAAAATGCCCTTTTTGTATTTTTCATTTCTTTGCTTGACTTCATTTGAAGCCACATTAGTTTCAATGTGTTTCTTTTATATTTGTTACCCACTGGTTTATACCATAAAGTGTACATTTCTAATTTTTGTTTGAAGACATTCAGTTTATCCTAAATATTTCACAAAATAGTTTATGCCAGTCAATGAGTTGTAAAGTTGCCCTTATCTTATTGAAATTGGCCTTTTAAAACTATGTTTCGCATTCTTCAGGTACATGTACATTGTTAAATGTAGCAATAATCCTTTCTAGTTGCTGTTTCCAACAATTGTGACATGAAAGTATTACCAGGTCTAAAACTTGCAAAAACCTAGCTGAATTACTAGTCTCTCTATTCCAATTTATGTCCAGGTAATTAAAATCTCCAATAAATGAAGTGTTACTCAGATGTGCAGTTTTTATAATCTGTTTTAACAGCTCTTCTTGCTCGGCAATGTCCATATTAGGTGGTTTATAATTCAGCCAATAATTTATTTTCCATATTTTTCCTAAGCAGATATCTACCCACAAGGCTTCCATATTTTCCCTATTTTCCTCGTCACATACCACATAATTATTGGCTTTAACTTATGGTTGACATGCACAAATACCCCTCCCTTTCTTTGTTTTATCCTTCCTAATTAAAAAGTAACCATTTAAGCTAACTGCCCAGTCATGTGTTTCATTCCATCACATTTCCGCTATGCTGTTAAGTCATATTATTTAGTATGCTAATATTCCTCTCTAGTTCCCCCATTTTTAAATAAAGTCTCCTTGCATTAGGAAATAAACATTTATTTTGTCAAGAGTCACTTTTACTGTATGTACATTTTTATTACACTTCCTCTGCTCTGAACTTGCCCTTACCCATTTCTTGTCCTGATCTAAATCCCATCTGCAATATGTGGACTTCTGTGTCCCCTTCCCACCACTGGTTTAAAATGTCCTCCAGCCTTGTAGCCATCCTGTCACCCAGGACAGCAGGCCCTCTTATGTTCAGATGCAATGTATTTATTTGTTTCCTAATTGAATCCAAACTCATTCTTTAGTTTTACAAAGTCATCTCACTTTGTCATTGCTATTGCACTTTGAACTCATACTTAAAAATTAAACTTCTTTACAATAAATTACTTGCGGCAACTCCAACTAAGGTTCTCTAGGATAGAAGGAGGTCCTAGGGTCTGACAAAACTCACAATAGGGTATCCATGCCACCTTGCTGACAATGACCAGCACACTGCTGTCCCAACTGACCAGCACTGATCACTATGTGAACATCAGGGATAGAATGATTGAGCTGCAGCATGAAAGGGAGATCTCCCTCTCACAGAGCGCTCTGTAATGTATAAGCTGGGAAATGTAATGTATCCTACCCAATATATGTGACACTCTGGTATTCCTGTGAGGGCTGGTAGCTCCGATCGGGAGTCTGGTGTGCTTCTCTCCCACTTAGGCAGCGTTAGTGACACTTCTGGTTCTAACTGGCCTGCGCCATCCCAGCCATTTCATAATCATACTTGTTGGGGTCTCAGTGGTGAGGTTGAACAAATAAAGTTCACCTACCAGTTCAAATAGTGTTTTTTGCCCTAATGTTATTGCCCTGTTGTGGTTTTCTTTGTGGTTCCTGATTAGGTAGTTGTTTTTGTATTTCTGATTCCTGGTGTTGACCTTGGCTTGTTTCATTGACAAGGGGTATCTCTATTGCCTTTACCTTCACTAGTTTTCTTGTTTCTCTATATTTCCGTAATCCTGACCTTGACTTGTTTACGTTCTACAATTTTTCATATATTCTTGCTTTTGCCTGACCACTCTAAAGACCAGTAATATACCCTATACTGTTAATTCTGTTTTGACCAAAATTCTGTGTGTTGAGTATTCTGTGTAGTGGTGTACTGCTGCTGAGGTTTAGGGTTACAGCTACTGTTAGTGTTGGTGTAAGGATATATTTGGTGTAGGGTTAGGTTTATGGTTAGTGTTGGTGTTAAGTATCTGTTAATGCTGGGTTACAGATAATGTAGGGTTATGATTAGAGGTGGGTTTTGAGTAGGTGTACGATTAGAGATAGTGTGAGAATAGGGTTAGGGATGTATAGAGGTGGGGGTTGGTATACGGTTTGCATTAAATAACAACAATCTATTTGCAATCTAGGCATATGAGGCATTTAAAATCAAGTTTGCATTAATCTATTATATTATAAGCAAAATTGTGAATTTTTGCTTTCTTTTTTTAAATATTTTATTCATGTTGTGTTCTGTCCTTCAAAACAATACATTATTTAAAGGTGCACTTGAAGAGAATCAGATAGATTATAGTGGAACAAACATATAGCATACATTCTAAGTTTTGTTTTGTTACAGAAGATGGACAATGGCCTCCATCCTTAAGGGGTTAATTTAATTTTAACATTAAAGAACATTCTGGGAGATACTTATTAAAAGGTGAAAGTCACCATTTTCTAACCTGTTTTAGAGCTAAATCTACCAAGATATTTTATCAGCCTAAGGCTGTCCATGATCTCATTGTTTCCTGCCCTGATTATTATAAACCTCTACTTGTCAGACTGAAAAGTGCCCAGATTGCACATTTATAGTCCATAAAGAATGTTCCTGACACTTTCATCAACCCTACTTGCAGCAACTCTCACACCTCCCCCTCTATCAGTCTCTACACTGGCTTCATGTTTCCTTTAGGATTCAGTTCAAAGTTATTGTGCTTACTTACAAAGTTCTCCATAACGGTGCTCCTGCTTACAACTCCAATTACCTATTAGTGTCCAGTTCTCCACCTGCATTGCAGACCAGTGGCGGATCTGGGGGGGGGGGGTCAATGGGGCAACTGCCACACCCCCGAGCTGTCTGTCACATGGGGGCACAAAGCATATGTGATCTTAGAGGATTAATATATGAGCATATTTATTTTACCCCCTTGTAGTTTCTCCAGCTTACAGCAGCACTTCTTAGCTGCCAGAGAAACTACAAGGGGCATACAATAAATATGCTCATATATTAATACCATTGCTGGCAGTGTGTGGTAATCCCCAGCCCGAGAAGGAGAAAATTCACTTTCATATTCTCCTTCTCGGTGGCACAATGGCAGAGCTTCTCATGCTCAGGGCTGCTAGGCCAATCAGAGGAGATGAAGCGGAGCTATGGTGGTGATGTCATAGCCCCGCCCACACTCCGCCGATTGATCTAGCAGACCTCCTCCATTTGCTGAAAGTAAGGGAGGCGATAGGGACCATTAAAAGACCTGGTGAGTCACAGTGCATAGTGAGTGCACAGCCCTAACCCACCACCCTGCTCCAGCCTAGTGCAACTGCCTGCTGGCATGCATTAGTAGCCAGCAGCCTGCACACTACACAGGCCTTTCATTACTGTCACTATGTGACCAGCATGTGGCCAGTCAGGTCAGGAACAGACTGCCCAGGAATGCCCAGTTGCTGTCCAGTGAGTGCAGACACCATTCCAGGGCCCAGCCAAGCCAACAAGTTGGTGCCTGCCTAGCTAGTGGATGCCCACCTAGCCAGTTGATGCCCACCCAGATAGTTGTCACCTGCAAATATCAGGGACCAACCACCCAGAATTCAGCTAGCCTTCTGGTCTGCACTCAGACCAGACAGCTGGCATAAGAAAAGCTATTCAGTGCCCGCCAAGACCAGGGAATAGCCACCTGCCCAGTGGCCACTCAGGCCAGCCATCGGGCATTTAACCACCATGCTGTGCCCCCCAATGCCAGGGGATAGCCAAGACTCAGGCTAGCCATACTGCTTCTGCTGAGATCTGGACCAAAACTGGAACAGCCCCCTGGATCTGGGACCAGCCGTCTGGCACCCTCAAAAACCATGGGCCAGCCACCTGCCCAGCCAGCAGCCATCTGACAGTCCAGTATCAGCAGCTGAAAACAGCAAAGGTCAGTGGGAATGCCCCTTTACTTTTAAATATATTTTGAGGAACACTCCAAGCACCATAGCCACTAATGTTTTGATGAGGAGGGCAATGCATCAGCGGCAGAACTGCTGCCGGTGCGGCTGCACTGGGGCCCACATGCCAAGAGAGCTCATTGGGTTGCCCATTCAGCAAGAGCCTTCTAATAGCATAGTATCCTCAGTGGTCTTTTCAGTGCTGCGGCCCTTAAATAGTGTGAACGGGCAGCTGTCATTATCTCAGTGCTGGGAGGAAGTATGTGTGTATCTGCATGTGTGGAAGTGTGTGCCTGTGTATTTATCTGTGTGTCTGTATGTGTGTATCAGTGTGTCTGTGTGTGTCACCCTGTGTATGTGTGTGTGCATTTGTAGATGCATGGTTGTGCGTGTGTGTATCTGTGCGTCTGTGTATCTGTGTTAGTGTGTATGTCTGTATTTGCATGGTGCATCAAGTACTATAAGAGGGGACATAAATAATTCTTGCACCAGCGCCCTGTCTTCTTAAGTTCCACCACTGCAATGCATTGAAAAAAATGGATTAGATTAAATTAGCCCCTCTCTCTCTCTCCTTGAAAACATTTGTATATTTCTTATTTTGAGTGTAGTGTGTTTTTTTTTTCTTCTTGACATTGTAAAAGTAACTCAAAAGCTTTTTACAGTGTATACAATAGGGTAATGGCAGCATGACACAAAAGGAAGTTTCTGTGCATGGTTACTATAGAAAAACTAAAGGCTGTATTGGCATTAAGCCGATTGCTTGGAAAAACTGTTAATAAAAAAGCATTTTACTGTTTCCAAGACCGGTATAGTCACCCAAATGGTGAGGTGGTCTGGGTGCAGTGGTCCTGTCATCTGAACCCTGCAATATAAAAATATTGCTTTTTATTTTTGGAACCTTCAATGTTTACATTGCCGGGTTAAATCCACATCTAGTGGCTGTCTTCCTAATAGCCACTAAATGCACTTCAGCTGCACTGACTGGGTAAAACTTCCACGTAATGTGGAAGCTTATAGGAAAGCATTGGAAAGGTGAGCAGCACCGAGGGAGTGTTACAGCTGGAAGGTAAGTAAAAAGCGTTATTTTATTAAATCTATTGGAAAAGGGGAGGGGGGACAGATATATATCCAGAAACAGGGGCACTATGTTATAGGTTTGTATTCCAAAAGCTATAGTGTTCTTTTAAAACACTTTAAATTAAACCAAGGGTTTTTAATTGTAAGCTGGCAGTTCTTTAAGCAACAAAACCTCTTTTTCGATTATCTCATGTTAACCAAACCTGGCAGAGTTCCTCTCCTGAGATTGGACTCTCAACTGCAAGACTTGTACCAGGGCTCCAACCAGGTTTGCCCCCTCTTCATGGAATGCCCTTCTATGGGACACCTGATTTTTTTTTTCCTCTTGACTCCTACTATCTTCCTCTGCTGTTTCCCATCTTCTGTTTTCTCTCCTCCCAAACACCACTCCCATCGTCGGGTACGTTCAGATCACTTGATTCCCTCATTTCCCTTTTTGTATTTGTCCCTCATCCCTTTAGATTGTAAGGGCCATCTTCACCTACTATTCTTGTATGTCATACATGTTTTATTAGAATTAAATGTTTATCTTGTTTACCCATTGTACAGCACTGTGGAATATCTTGGCACTAAATAAATAATTGTAATTATAATTTTTATATTACTGTACATCATTTTGATAAATTTTCTGAAATACAACATGTGCTATGTTTTACAAGCCAACAAGCAACAAGTACGCATCATTTGTTATTTCAATAAATAATCAATACATTAACAAAAACATTGAATTGTAAAAATTGCTAATGTACTTATTGTGCTAATAACCTATGGTCTTTATAACATAAAGGATAGAAAGGTTAATACAAGTGGGGGAAGCTTATCCTCAAGTGGCATAGCACAATTGCTGACAAATTGATGTTATGTTGACTTCGGAGAGGTGCAAAGAAATTTCTAACCACAATGCTGTCTCCTGCGGTGTAGGAGGTATTGTTCCAAATTTCTGCTTACAGCAAGATAATGATTACAAATCACACAGCTGGAAAAAACTCTGCAAAATAAGGAGACATATGGAGTCTTTTAATGCATCAAATGGCTCTCTGAAAGCTCAAATGTCAATAGTATTTTAGTTGCATGGCAGTAGGAGACTATTTGGACTGAAAAACAAAGAATGACATCAACAGAAGATAATCTATTGAATATCCTGAAATGATTCTGGAGCTCTATTCCTTAGCAAAACTGAAAGGTTATCTATAATAGGCATAGGAAAACACTGGGGTAGATTGAAGACAATTTTTTTCAATGTGCTATATAAAAAATGTAATACCATTATGCATGAAACTTAATACATATATAAATGGTTCACCTCTGAATTTCTCACTTTGCCAGTTTTCTGAGGCTCTTGGTGATGTGTCAATTAAAAATGACTTAGAAATCTTGATCAGTCCATGTTAAGAAGTTGGAACCAGTTTAAGAATAAGGGAATATGTGTGTCTCTGTAGTACCAGCCATAGACACTTACACTTTGTGTCATCTATGTCTGTAAAAAACAATTACAGGGAAGTAGGGCTAAGGGACACAAGTGTTAGTTATTTATGCTGTAACTATGTACCTGTATTTGGCATAATAATAAAAAAAAGGTATTTCATTCTGAAAATGGTTGACTACTCTGCATACCAAAGCCGTTTGAGAATGAAATTCTTTGCAAATCACGTCAGTGCAGTATTTCAGTAAGACTCATTACAATGGAGATACAATATCTTGCGTTGCATAAATGGGACAGTTTAGGTTGCTTTTAATGCAAAAGGCAAAGCAACAGACTATCTCTACCCATAAACTACCAGTTGATCAACATCTCCAAAAAGTTTTGAAATAAACATTACTTTTTTACCAAGAAAAAAAAAGGATTGGAAGGCCAAACAATTATTCATATGTATTATTAAAACTAATTAAGAAAATCATTTACCGGTAATAAAATCTAGCCAGTATAACTACTTCTTATCCTAACTATTACCCTCACTTTAATTTCATTGCTAACCAGATAGTACCCTCATCCGCCAATCATATCAGCCACAGCCCCAGCCTCAGCCCCAGAATGCTCTCATTCCTCAAGCATATCAATCGGATCCACATAGGGCCATCAAACTCCCAATTATATACATTTCAAATAGATATTGTCCTCAATATTGTCCTAAATCCCCAGTCATATCAATCCCAGAAAGAAGAAAAGAAAGGTTAGCGCTAATAATAACTGTATATAAAAAAAATAAAGGCAGCGGCCTTATAGAGGGTCATCCTCTAACCCTCTACAGTAGGAATATATACAAAAACAGAGAATAAGGCTGCGCCAAGAAAATAGTTAAAACAAGTCCAAATAAAATGATTTCAAATAAAATGTTCTAATAAGAGAGTCCCAATAATAGGTGGTGTTTCAACTGGTATGGTGTCTTCCTTAGCAGTGGTCGTCCGTCTCACGATATGAAAGACACAATGGGAGAGAGCCAATTGTGCAGAGTGTATAAATAAATAATATTTGAATAAAATATAAATTACACACTCACATTGCCATGAGCTAGGACCAGCTCAGGTATGATGGGCATACGGCAGATAACCCTCCGCTTGTAGGGGTGCTTGTCCTCCTGGAGCGTCCTGGTGTCCAAATTCTCAGGGAAAGAAAATAAAAACAGCCAATAGTGCTCTCTGGTGAGGTAGTTTGTAGAGAGGATAAAAAATAAATAAAATATACTCACAAGTGGAGTGCAGGTCAATCTGCACTCTGATATTCGCGTGGGTGGTATAATCCCCACCTTAGGATATGCCAGGAACAATAAATGAGGTTAAAAGTAATAATAATTATAAAATTATTTATTAGTACAATGTTTTAAAACCAATAACGCGTTTCGCCTTAGAGGCTTTATCAAATTGGAATAGTATAGATACCTGGCACATTAGGAGTATATATAGCTAGTACAAACATTTAAAATTGGCGCCAAAAAATTGATCAACCAATAGAAATGATACAAAATATAAATAAAAAATATACATACAAAAGGTAAAAAATGATATAAATTATAGATGTTTATAAACATAGGATGATATGTATATATAAATATATAAAAAACGAGCATTATATTGTGTGGGAATAGAATAAAAATAAAACTTTCGGTTTCGTGCGAGTCACGTGACCCGCAATGCACCTTGGGGCATGTAGTGCCGGGTCACGTGACCGCCGATATACATATACACAGTCCGTGCGTCCGCAACTGAAGAAAACGGCACGCACGGACTGGGGAGCAGGAGGGCGGGTTCGGACCTTGTCACATGACCCGCGGCGTCATGAATCAATAATACCCGCGGGCCAGGTGACTATAACCGCGAGGAACACTGGGAAGTGTAGTTTAAAACAGCAAAATGAATAGAATTAGAAGATAACATATAATGGAAAATAATCAGGTATAAAACAAATCAGTATGTAATTAGAACAGGCATATTAAAATATATAGAGTATATGTCAAATAAACATACATAAATTTAGTACATATAAAAGGTGGATACAAGTCAAATAGGGGGGGCATAGAATAATAAATCGAATAATAAATCAAAAATAGCAATAGAAATAAATATAAAATATATATATCTCTACCCATAAACTACCAGTTGATCAACATCTCCAAAAAGTTTTGAAATAAACATTACTTTTTTACCAAGAAAAAAAAAGGATTGGAAGGCCAAACAATTATTCATATGTATTATTAAAACTAATTAAGAAAATCATTTACCGGTAATAAAATCTAGCCAGTATAACTACTTCTTATCCTAACTATTACCCTCACTTTAATTTCATTGCTAACCAGATAGTACCCTCATCCGCCAATCATATCAGCCACAGCCCCAGCCTCAGCCCCAGAATGCTCTCATTCCTCAAGCATATCAATCGGATCCACATAGGGCCATCAAACTCCCAATTATATACATTTCAAATAGATATTGTCCTAAATCCCCAGTCATATCAATCCCAACCTCATAGTTCCCTGTGCCCAAAGTTAAATCAATCATGTAATATTCTCATCATCTTAGTCATATCAATGCCACACATACACTGTCCTTAGCCCCCAAAATCTCTTAGCTCCCGAATCATATCAGCCCTACACAGGTAGTGCCATCATACACCATTTGTCATATAAATACAAGGCACTGCCTGCTCTGTGAATGAGATGCAGCCATCCCAAATACCCAGTGTTTCAGATGAACAATTATTATTTTAGGGTCCTATCTCACCATCCTAATTTGTAGGCTCACACTTACTTTCAGTAGGTGCCCCTGCATCTTTCCAGGTGGGCCTGCCCATTGATTACTATGGGTTTCTACTATGGGTTACCTGTCAACTAGGTCCATCTTTGCATACCTCCCAATGTTATGTTGGCAAGTATGGAAATGGAGCCAGAGAGGGTGGAAGCAGGACTGTGACATCATAAAAACCCTATATTCTCACTAACTACAAGGCCTGTAGCATAGAGAGCAGGCATAGAGCTGGTGTGACTGTTATTGTATATGAAGTTGGGAGAGACTGTTACTGCTGATTCACAGACCTGGGCCTTGGAAAAGCTTTGATCTGCTGTCCCTCAGACTTCCAGTCTGTGCGACGATATGTTATATATCATATATAATATTGCCTAGCAAGCTGTTGTATTTATTTGGTCACAAGGCTTACTTTACCTAATGCTTGGGCCACATCTGGCAGCAATATTATTCAGAAGTCTTGGCTTGAAAACCCAATGTATATACTAATGCAATGCCAGCAGTAGCCAAAAACAGTGCTTATATTTCATAGTCTGTTTACTCTGAAATGATCTTATGACACAAAAGTAAGTTTATTCACATGAAATCTCTCTGCTTTTAGGTCTGCATTTTGCATACCCATCATTGCCATTCTGTTGAACAAACTTACCACATATTAAGAATTTTAAGATAAGCATATTGTGACAAACTGAACCTTGTCACGTGTTCTTGGAGGGGCCTGCTGGCCAGCCTCTTACCAAAAGACTATGGGCCCTTTAAAAAACTATGTAAACAGACTTTGTTCGTGGGATTTTAGATTTGGTTTAGGAACGGACAGCCGCACGAACCGGAGACCACACTGGAGCTTGTTAAGCCTAACTGCTTCTTTGTAGCAATTTCCACTGCAGTGTTCTAAGTGTTCGTCTGGGTGGGCGCAATTCCTATGGACGACCACGAGGTGGCGGCCACCTAGTTCCCGCAAACACAGGCAGCGGTGTATGGGCATGAATCTCATGGAAGTGAAAACGGACACAGAAACTCCCGAATATCGCTGGACTTCGGTTCTACAACACATAGAAAGGCACTGTTCAGTGGAAGCATTCCCATGGACAAGGGGATCAAGCTCCAGGGTAAGACTATTGACTCTGTTCGGTAGTTTGTTCATTTTTTTTAAACTACCAAACTAGACCAACTGCAAGCCCTGATTCTCTGGAACTGTTTTGGGCATGGGACCATGTGGGCGGGCGGTCAAATTATGACTTCCAGGAAATTCCTGAACCCCTAAACGGATTTGGGCTATCAGGGGATGTACCTTTTGTGGGGATTTTGTGTGTTTTAAGGTATTTTGGGGAGTTTGTAAAAATGTGTGTTTTTGTGCCTGGAGATAATTGAGTTTAATACAGTGTTTGACTCAATTATCTCCCAGGCATAGGGCAGGGAATGACCTATTTTGTATGAACGTTTCCTGGACCTGAGAGCCAATGTAATTGTGTATATGTTTTTAGTGTAGTCTACTCTCAGGTCCAGGGGGGATTGCCCCTTGCATGGGGACCTGCATATAAGGCCAGTTGTGGCTGCCATTAAACAGATTAGTTTTATCCTTCATGAAGTCTAGGCTCATGTTTGGGGTAGTTGGAGAGTTATGGTGGTTATGGTCTTCTAGTGCAGTGCTTTTGGTGCTTGCAAGTACTAGGAAGCAGCGATTGACGGAGGTACCCAGTTGGGGTGCCAGGCGGTCCGTCACACATATTTCAATAACGCACCACACACTTTGGAAAATGGAGTGAGTCATCATTAAAACCTCTTTTTTTATTTCATAGGTGGCTGTTTTTCCCAGAATGCAAAACATTGGAATCCTGCTTTTCAAAATCACATTTCAATACTACAGACTTGGCCAACATATGGCCCCTGAGCTGCTTGCGGCCCAACAAAGTATTTTGTGTGGTCCGGACACTGAGGGGGTGCATTGGGTGGTTCATGCACTTAGGGCCACTTGGTGGGCATTTATCAGCAGTCGGATGCTGTGGCCCTTTAGCATTTTGAACAGTATGTGTATCGTATGTCTGTCTGTCAGTGTGTGTGTGTATCTATATGTCTGTATGTGTTTCTGTCAGAGTGTGTGTATCTGTATGTCAGAGTGTGTCTGTATGTCTATCATTGTGTGTGTATCTGAATGTCTGTCAGTGTGTTTTCTGTATTTTTATATGTAATATAAGTACACTTACTCTTAACCCAATCAAGGATAAGTAATAACTAGGATAAAAGATGTGCTGATGTGATTTGAGCCCATCCCAATTTGGCTCTACCCCATGTGTGTATATCTTACTCTTACTGCATATAGTACTTTGTAAATTATATCTCTTTTATCCTAGTTATTACTTATCCTTGATTGGGTTAAGAGTAAGTGTACTTTTATATTCTTACAAATATAGCGCTCCACTGTTTTTACTGGAGTTTACATCACTCAGTTCACTTTGTATTTTTTACACACAGTAACTGACAGACAGACAGATATATAGACACACAATCACTGATAGACAAGCTCACTCACTGATTTGACACACACTGAAAGATAAACACACACTTACAGTCACACACACTCACTGACAAACACACGCATTCATTGACAGACAGACACACACATTCTCTGATGCACTCGCAAATTATTGTTATATGTTTTAGTTTAATTCAGATCCATGCAGCCTCTCTACCTTTGGAAGTGCTGCAATGGATCCTTTCCCTGGGGTCCAGTGCAGCTGCTGTGATACTGTAATCTTTAAGATCTTCTTGCTCTGCTCCTTTGCTGCCTACAGGGTGTGCAAAGGAGCAGAGAAGGAGAGCAGGAAGATCTTGCTGCACACTTCCATTCTGCACAATCACCCACTCTGAGGGGCAATAAGGTAGCAAGTGCTGAACGGGCTGACAAATCCCAGGCACCAGGACAAAGTTCCTAGTCGCCTTAGTGACTTTGCCCCTGTAATTTGTCAAGCTCTGTATTACTATATTTATAAACTGAAGCTCAATGATTGGCCATTTGTTGCACTTTTTTTTCCTTTTGATTAGGTTTCCGAATAAGAATCTCATTACCGAAATTCTGCCGCGTTGAATCGAAATTGTGCTGAAATTTGAGTGCCCAGGAAAATGTTCTCTTTGGAAGGAATGGTATAGCAAACTTGAGTTTTCTTACCATGTACAAGTCTATTATATACTGTATATTCTTAAACTGAATGTGAAAATTTAAGCTTTATTAATGTTAAGGATAAATGCAATTATAAGATCACAAAATATTTTCATTTATTTACAGTCACCATAAATGTTTTTATTTCATTGCATACGAACGTATTTGACTAACTAGTTTAGTAAGTAGGTATATGCTAGGATTTGTAAGAATATAAGTATATATTTGTATATTTCAGACAAAAGTAAAAAACAAATGTAAAAAAATAGCTTAGCAGTAGATTAATAAATGTATACATACTGTATACCCTCACACACGTATGATAAACCTACTATCATACTCTCATTATATATCACTGAGGCCCTCTGTTAGGTAGTATGCCCATGAGAACTAAGTTCTTATATTGCAGAAGTTTAAACTCATGATGTAATTACTCTTTAATCCATTGCAAAGATCTGCAATTAGTCACTCATTATAGAGTCAATTCTGATTATCACAGGGGATTCAGAAGCGAGTGACCATACATTAAACTGCAAGGATTAAAACAGCATTATCTAATCCAGTTAATAGAATTATAACTAAATTAATGCTTAATAGAACTTGTGGATATGATTTAACACAACAATTATACCATTATTTAGGTCCATGAATTATATTGACAGGGCCCCAGGGCATACTAAGTGGGTATGACCTTCACATATCTCATTACTACACTTCATCCCGGTATATTACTTGGTAGCTTGTAATAGAACCTGCATCTGATAATTAGTCTTACATAGTCACAATTTTGACTGAATTAAATTACTGTTCAATAAAAAAATGTTCTTTTAAGATGTTGCCTTTAGATATATTTTATTAGTATTGACATGATTTATTCAGTTTTTTCTTTAGTATTGATATTTTCTCAAATATACAGGCTTTGCAATTTCTTAATACACACAGGACTCTTTGCAAAATCCAATTTCAGTGGTATGCCTACATACGGGGGGTGTTATTATCTCAGTCTAAAATAGACATAAGGAAATCAGCATAGAGTTCTGTATGACATAATAAGAAGAGTGTTCCAAACTGGTGTTTTAATAATGATCACTGACCACTCTGCAAATGAGTTATTGTGCAGCACTAACAAGTTGATTAACTTGAAGAGTTAAATATAGTACAATATTTATTATGTGGTATCATTGCCTCACATAATATGAGTCGTGCCTCTTATTACATTCAACTCTGGAAAGATTCCACTCCAGTTACTGTCAGATGTAAAGGCACAAATTATTAAAGTTCTTTTCATTTTTTGGCAAATTTGACAAAATGGAGAGTGGATATCATGCTGATTAACATTCTGACAATTAATAATCTAATATACTTCACTGTCATAAAAAGTTGGCAGCTACTTCTTGGAACATAAGAGGTTTTGTATAAAAAGTTAATCTAAGCCAAAGTTCTAGAAGTGGAGCAGTCTCTATGACATTGGCAGCCAGCATTCAGCACTCACGATGTTGTGGACTACATCTCCTATAATGCTCTTACAGACATAATTCTGGAAAACATATATCACATATTGTTCACTGTAACAATGCATACGGGTTTATCAGAAACAGGAAGAATAAATGAAAGCTGTATAACCTTCTTTAGTTTCAAAGTGACATTTATCGATCCTAGAAACCATGCCCACTTTGGACAGTGGTGGTATAAAATGTCAGTCCACAACTGTAGAAAGTGTACTGGCTTTCATTTATTATTCCTGACTAATAAAAACTGCGAACAGTTTTGTTAATTTGGTCTGTATTAGTATATAGGTATGCACAAGTTATTTAATGACCATAATACCCCTTAAGAAAGGTCAGAAGCCAAACGATTGGGTTGTATTTTCGGTTTCCAAGATAGCACTTTAGTTATGACCAGTTGTCTGGTTATGCAAGTATATTTTTGAACTCTTAATAGTTACTTTACCTGCGTGCCAGAGAAGGAAAATATTCAATTAGCCCTTATCTGAATGCAGATATTTGTATTTAGATGCTTCTGTTTTATTTGATTTTCAATTTAATGTGTTTTTTTTTTATTTTGCTAAATATACAAATATATTATATTAAATATATTAAACAAATTCAGAATTTGTAGTCTTTAGTGTGCATTGGTATCCATACTATATTAATTTGAGTTCTTCCCTATATTGTCCATGAGTTATTTTAATGAAATCCTGTTTAGACAGTACTAGACTTTATGGGGTCATCCTTTTGCTCATCCCTATACCTGTTGTCCACATGCTGCTGTTGTTTTAAAATGTACTTCTTTAGACATAAAATCTTTGAAAAACAGTTGAGGAGCGGTGGGAACGAAGGTAGTATAGGAAGTCGAGCTCAGTGAAAATTCACTGTATTGCTCTCATTTAACAGGCCACAAAATTAATAAAAAAAACTAACTCTGGAAAAATGTTTGTTTAATTTTAACATTCTAACTTTTTCAAAACAGTTTGAGAGTACACATTCCCTGATCCAATTAATGTCTTTTTGAGATATTAGATTAACAAACTATTTCTCCTTAACAAAACTTATACTACTTAATGAAAATGTGCCCTTTTTGCATTTTTTGCCTGTGTTTCTAAACTTGCGTTGTTACAAAATACTTCGTACATGGCTTTTAAAGCCATCTGGAAAATGCTGGTAACAGTTGTAATATAAAATGTGAATGCTCTCAACAGGGCCAGACTTTGGGTAGAACATTGCCCTGGACAAATTTTTGCACAGTAGCAAAGCAAAATTAGATAAACCCCACTAAAAATAGAATGGAGGTGATGATAGAAGGTTCCTAAATTGTTCCTATGTCTAAGTCCCCCTGTACCCATTATAGGTGCAGGTTTTTTTATAATGTATTTGTATATTATTAATTGTTTTGTGTGATTTTTGTCCTGCTGATGCTTGTTACCAACTAGTGGATTTGGCTATGGAGCCTTTAAAGCCCCCTTTGTTGATAGCAACAGCAATATGCACCACCTTAATACCAAGGCTGGTTAATTTGGATATTCAAGTAGATTTGCATATTGCTAATTCTACAGGCAGGCATGATATTTTGTGTTGGTTATTGACTTCTCCACCCATTTGTAGATGTGTTATTGTGTTATTATAATTCCCTGCATGTTTTCTGACATGTTTTATTTTTAAATTTATTGAATTGTCACCACAAGTTACATGTAAGAAGTATTTGGGCCAGTCCCAAGAAAAAAAAATTAAGTTTTGTATGTTAGTTTTATTTGGATCCCAGCCCCATAGTTGTTGTGTCTGTTGGCTGGCTGCATGATTCCTCTAGCCCTGGGATAAATAAAAAAAGAGAGCTAGGCCTGAGAGCCACAAGTGCCTTTGAAAAGACAATAGAAATCACGTTGCAAGCAGAGGTGATTACCTGCCTGGAAGAAAGACTGCAGCAAAATAGGCAGAGGGGACAATAACTGCCTGGAATAAGGGCTGCAGAGAAATAGGCAGAGGGACTATACCTGCATGGAAGAAGGGCTGCAGCGGAATAGGCAAAGGGGACGATACCTACCTGGAAGGAGAACTCCATCCTGGTTGTTTCAGAGAACCCCAGTCAAGCCATGGGTGACCACGGCAGTTTTCCCCAGTTCTGGCTAGAAAGCAATCCTGGGCGGAGATACCCAGCCAGGATACAGGGAGCTCTGCTACAGGTACAATATATATAAATCTCTACATAAACCAGTAGGTAATGTTTCAAATTACATGACCTCAAAAAAAGAGAAAAATAGACAAACAACAATGCAAAATGTATATGCAGTATAAAAATAGAATCAGAGTGTATAGAGGATTTTTTCCAATTTTTATACTGCATATACATTTTGCACTATATGGCTAAGAAAGACTGTTTTAGGCTTTATACATTTAAATTATTGGAATTCACATTGAAACTCAAATTAATTCTTGCAATATTATTTTCTTCTTTCTTTTTGGTAATGTTTTTCTTAGTTACCATTTATTAGCTCTCATCATACTCTGTAAATATGTTTGTGCTATATAATTCTATTTAGCAAATAGTTACAAACACAAACTTGTTATATGCACATTGGCAAAACAAAATATGGTTTTCTGTCAGCAGATATCATTCTTTTTTTTTTTTCTCTTCTGAAATAACATACAGGAGAAGCACAATTTAATCAACCCGTAGCTCACACACTGACATAACAATAAAGAATAAAGTATAGTTCTAGCTGAAACTTGGCTGTACAAAACAGAAACATATTTTATCTATGGAAAACATTGAGCTCTGCCGTTATTGGTGGAAATCAAAGTATATTGTAAATGTTTTCAAATTGCACTATGTGCCAATTTAAAAAAAAAAAAAAAAACCCAAATGATCATTCTTAATTATTAGCTCGGGTGTATTTCAAATAATATAGAATAGTACTATCAGAAATATCCATAAAACTCATTATTACACCTATCACGTGATACCTCTAGCTTCTCATTTTAATAAACACATCTATTCCTTATGTTGACTATTCATACATGTACACTATATGGTCAAACATATGTGGACAGCCCTACTAATTATTGAGTTCAGGTGATTCAATCACACGTTGCTGACAGGTACATAAAATTTAGAACATGAAAATTCCATAGGCAACATTGGCAATATAATAGGTCGCACTAAGGAGCTCCATGCCTGTATTTATAGCAGTTGCAAACAATCGAAGATCCAAGCAATGACACTTCTTTTTTTCAAAGGTGCAAAATTTTTAATGGAAACCACAAGCAGTAATAGCAACATTTCAGCCCGTGATGGTTAAAACTTTGTCACTTACTGCTTGCGGTTTCCTTTTAAAATTCTGCGCGTGTGATAAAAAAGAAGTGTCAATTGGATCTTTGATTGTATGCAATTGATTTCTTGGGATATGCCAACCCTGGAATCAGAATCATCTACCCCTTCATTGTGGGTACAACTTGAGAGCCATTGGTGCAGTCCCTACTTATTGTTTTAAGCATGACATTGTCATACTATGCCACCTCGGTCACAAGTCAATTGTCAAGTAGAAGTGTTTGGAAGCGACAACAGCTCAGTCATGTAGTGGTAGTCCACATATACAAACAGAGCAGCAGTGTTGCGTGTTGAAGTGCATATAATGTAAAAATCATCTATGATCTCTAGCATCACTCACTGCAGACTTCTTAAATGACTATGGAAGAAACAACAGCACAAGAACTGTGTGTTAGGAGCTTCATGAAATTGGTTTCTATGGCTGAGCAGCTGTACACAAGCCTATATTAAGGATTGTGCTACTGTATTTAGGATTTTCTGTGTATTCTATGGGTCTTTAGTTTTGTGACGTACAATGTACGTGTACACAGAACACTACTTTTGATATTTTATTAGGATATATGTGGTAGACATGCAATTTTTTTCGTTCCAAATGTAAATTCAGATGAATTTTGGCAATTCAAACATTTGGATGCTTCGGTTTTCGGAAGTGCCGAATTTTGGAAGTACCGAAGTGCTTCGGATTTCTGAAAGTAGCAAAACAAGAGAGGGAGGGAAAATTACATGAATGATGACAGAAATTTAACCCTACCCTTAACCCTAACTATACCCCTAGATGTGTATGTGGTTGTGGTGGTTAGGGGTAGGGCTAGGGTTAGGGTTAGGGAATTGCCAAAGTTCTGAATTGCCAAAGTGCCAAACTGCCAATGTCCCAAATTTCGGAAGTGCCGAACTGAACCAAATATTTTGCCCATGCACATCCCTAATATGGGGCATTATTGTAAAAAAGAATAGTATTTATGTATGCATGAAACACTTAAAAGGGGTGTATTCCCTAAATACCAAATCGCAAACACTGTTATATATAGCCTTAAGGTGCCTTCCCTTAGAATATTGGGGGGTTGATCCAGGACCCCTTCTCTTGGATGCCGGCCTCCATATCAGTAATGAAGATTGGATTCCAAGCATCATAATAAAACTAAATGCTTCCTGCTACTCCACCAAAAAGAGGGGGTTGTCTATATTGGTGGGGAGGGAGGTATCCTTCTCCTTCATACGTAAAATAGGTGATAAAAAAGGGCACTATCTTCTGGTAAAATGTCTTATTAACAATAATCCGTATACGTTGATTAATGTGTATGGGCCAAATGGCAACCAACATGAGTTTTTATTGAATGTTTTTGCTTTAGTTAAACTGTACAGCTATGGGGAGGTCATCATTAGAGGCAACATTAATTATTTGACTAGACATCTTCCTAGATTCCTCTGCTGATAAAACAGATTCCTCCCGCGCACCCTACTGAAAAGGACTACACGTGCCATACCCCCACACACAACAGTTACTCCAGAATAGACAGCCAAGATGGAAGATGCTCAGATTGACCTTATATCATGGTCTGACCATGTTCGAATTACATTAACTCTTAAAGAACAATTCCCCTGCCAATGACCCTTCCATTATTTTTCACAACATTATTTTCAGGACAAAAAAAACCAGATTCTCTAATAGACCAAATTTGGTTGGCACATAAGGTATTTATTCAATGGAGTTTCATTACACATGATAGCCATGCAAAGAAAGTTCATCAAGTGAGATACACCTCCCTAATTCGAGAACTCACTGACCTCACACACCTGAATAAACACACACCTATCCCAACTGCTTACGCCAGACTACTTGACTTCCAAACACAACTCGAAGA